GTGCCACCATTCTTCCTGCCATGCTGATAATGGACTAAACCTCTGAACTGTAAGCCAGACACAATTAAATGCTATCCTTTGTAAGAGTTGCTGTGAACATGATGTCTCTTCACAGAAATTAAAACCTTCACTAAGAAGCATCTCTTTGACACTCAAGACACTAGTTTCTTATGGAGGTTTCTCTGCCATCCCAATGGTCTAATCCTCATTGATAGGACTGAATCTAAGCAGTGGAAGGATGTAGCATCAGAGGATTGGAGGAGGAGGAAGAGAGGGAGGGAAGGAGGGAGGACTCTGTTGGTCCATAGCTTGTGATAAAGGTCCTCAGCAGATCTTTTCTCACTCTTGAGACTCACTGGACTTGTGTTTATGCTCCGTCTTTCTTGATTGTGTTGACTTTGAATATGCATCTCACTCATTACATATAGCATATTAAATTTCTCTGTAAATTCTACCTGGTGAGCCAGGCAGTGGTGGCGCATGCCTTAATCCCAGCACTTGGGAGATAGAGGCAGGTGGATCTCAGTGAGTTTGAGGCCAGCCTGGTCTACAGAGTGAGTTCCAGAACAGCCAGAGCTGTTACACAAAGAAACCCTGTCTTGAAAAAAAATCCACCTTGTGTCTATTTTAAAAAGTAAATTCCTGGCATCTGCCCTTTGCTTTTCTGCCTCCGTGGACTGTGTCACCTACTCTGAGCTCTCCAGTCAGAAGGTGAGTCCACGCCAGGCGGTGGTGGCGCACGCCTTTAATCCCAGCACTTGGGAGGCAGAGGCAGGTGGATCTCTGTGAGTTCGAGGCCAGCCTGGTCTCCAAAGCGAGTTCCAGGAAAGACGCGAAGCTACACAGAGAAACCCTGTCTCGAAAAACCAAAAAAAAAAAAAAAAACAGAAGGTGAGTCCATTGCTTCCTAGTCTTTATTTCCTGAGACACACTGTACTTGAAGTGATAAAATCCTCTCTTGCTATTTTATCAGTGGCACCTTGAAATTTTTGAAAAATAGAAAATGCCATTTTCCTCTAAGCACTTTCTTCTGTGCAGTTTTCCCCTTTACTCAAGAATTCTTTAAGAATTTAAATTCATGGAATTTTTCTCATCCTCTGGCAAGGCCGCTTCCAGTGCCCCTTTAATGGTTATTTAATATGTTATAAAAACAGTATCATCTTCAGGGTGTAAGCCATCTGCCTTCTCCCTGGACTGCTTTTCCTGTAAGTAGTATTATGTAATCAATTCTCATCTTACATTTCAATTTGCTTCAGTGTGTAGCAAAAGTTTTCCTTGTGTTCATTTCTCTCCATGAAAAAAACAAAAACAAAAACAAAAACTTCCACATGTGCAAAGGGATCACCTGAGCCCCATGATAGAAAATAAATATACCTGTGCATTCCTCCAATGAAATCACTTCCAGACAGGGATCCACCTTCCATAACCTCTTTTCCAAGTGGAATGTGGGCCTGGGACTTGATGGAGTCTACCTTTTCTTGGATACCTTCTTTATTTTTAGGCTATGCGCTCTTAAAACTGTATGTCTCATAGGCAGTATGATGCTGGAACTTCCAACATTCACCTTCCATCCAGCATCCAGTTGATCTTTCAAAGGACCTAGTGAGCAGTTATCACTCTTCTCAGCTCTGCCTTTCTCCCATACGCAGGCTAAGCTCTGTCTGTTCAGGGCCTGCAAACTCCTCACTCTGGATGATGTTTCTATTGCCACTGCCCCTCAGGCTCAGCCATGTAGCCCTTTGGTCTCTTTAAGCCTTTAAGCTGCAGACTTGCTCAAGTCTGCAGGACCTTCCCTGGTGGTCTGTTCCCTGGACTATGCAGCTATCTATTGCTCTTGTCTCAGCATCCATATAAAGAGTCATGGCTGCATGGAAGTTGCTATGTTTGGCATATCCCCACCACCCCTTCCTCAGAAAGTGTCTCCTTTGTTAGTGGCATCCTGCTCTGTGACATCAGAGACCTCCATGGCCACAAGCCTCAGCAGTTAGGTTGAACAGGTGTCCAGATGACGTTTGTGAAAAGAAATTCTCAGAAGACAGTAGCCCAAGAACCACAAATAATGTGAAGATAGTTATCATGGTGAATTCAAGAAATCTCTCCCTCTTGAGCACTCCTGTGTCCACTCACATGAAGTGAGAAGGGGACCCCGAGCAAGTATCTCTTGCTGGCTTTTCTGCCTGTCCTTCCAGTTGAACTCTTCTTTGAAAACCAAAATCTGGAAACGTCAGAGAAGCCTAGTCACACTTCTCAACCCACAGGTCCTTCATCCAAGGTTAAATAAGTATGTTTTACTTTAATCAGGAATAAATACATGATTGGGCAAAGTGTAATGCTTCCCACTTAGAAAATACCCCCAAGTGCTACCCAAAGTTCCAATCACATTGACCACAACAGAAAACAGCACAGAAGATAGCAGATGTATCAGGAGCCAGAGATCATGGCCTCATAGCAGAAGTCACTGACCTGGTATGGCATCTGTTTCTCACACACTGGCCAGTCTCTTTGAAATGGCCTTTGGGAGAGACCTAGGAGACCATACATGTCTCTTGGTGTAAAACACCAGACATGACAATAAATGAAGTCATGCCAACGCATACACTTTTGTCGTTTGCAGGATGAGCCCAGGTATATGGACCGCACATGATGGGTGACAAATCCCACCTGTATTTCTCTTACTGAGAATCCCTTTGATGAACAGGGAGGAATGAGCCATGGCAATCCTGCCTCCCACCCCCAGCAAGATGTAGGCATGAGACTGGCTGGAGGCTTCTCTTTTCTGAATGCCTTGTGAGTTTTCTCTCGCCACTCACAGTCACATACGGCAGCATTCAGCTTCTCCAGCCCCCCCCCTTTTCCAGAAAGGGGCATTCTTATTACATGCAGATGCTACCCTTATTAGAGTAAAATATACAGGATAAATTAATTCTTTAAAGCCCATCAGTCCCCTTAAAAAAATCTAACCATACTAGTCTACTTAGTCCAACAGCCTTTGCATTCCTGACAGATCCATGGGAACAAGATCCCTTGGGTAACCCTCACTTGTTCCCAGTCCATTGTAGCTGTGAGATTTCGTCCTGTTTCACATCCACTGTTATATTCTGCTGATCGGCTTGTCTCTCTGACCCTGCTGGAAGCCCAGCATTAAGGGATGCTATTCATGCTTCTTTTGTTCTCATTTGACCTCAGCACAGCGGCCTTTGCCAATAGGCATGAGGAATGGGGGTTCTAGAATAACACAGGACCCCAGGAGCTGGAGGATGCCTTTTCTGAGAGGAGGCAAGACTGTCTATCTCAGAGGTTTGCACAGTAGAGCTGCCTCCTGCCTCTCCTGATTGCCCCTCCACTGACCAACACTCTCCCACAACTTAGCATAGCCATCTACTTCTGTCCATGTGGCTTCGGTGCACCTGAGCGCAGAAGGTGCCACTTGGATCAGAGCTGTAAGTCCTTTTGGGTAGTGTTTAATGTCACAGGTCCTTTAGGAAGAGAGGAGACATAGCCCAAAGGTCTCACTGGGCCTTTAAAGGTCGCCCTGCTCCAGGTAGAGTCATTCTGCAGACCTAAGAAGCCATCTTTCTCATGTTCTTTCTCAGATGGATGTTATCCACAGGTTCTCAGAGAAGGGCCATTTGGACTGTGAGCTGGAGTCAGTCTCCATGCACTGTCTTTCAGGAGTGTTCTGTCCTACACACACCCTCATACACACACAGCTCTTTGAAATACTGCCCCATTACATCATGATTCAAACATGATATAGCTCTACAATACTGATCAGACTCCAAGGAGAAGTTCCTCTGATCACTATGTAAAGGCAGTCTCCGTGTGACTTCTCTTGGTTCCTCGAAGACACAAGATGACCAGGGAGTAGAGAACTCCGACTTCCACTAGATCCCAGGTGGCCACCAAAACATCTGTCTTTTGTGTACCAGCCAGGGCATTAATCTTCAAAGTACTGGGGCTCTGAAAAGAAGGAACTCTTGCGTTTGCTGCCATTGTAGATTAGGGAGAGACTCTTCTTCTTCCGGTCAAAGGAGCTTGCGTCATCCCCTGTCAAGGACAGGTAAGATGCGATGCTTTCCCGGAGACCGTAGCTGAAAAGGGATTCATCCACTCTGAGTGGGTTCTCTGCCCCCTCTGGATCTCCCTGCAATCTGAGTGAAAAAAGAGGGATGTTAGACAGAGTAGGTGATGGGGACAAAGAACGTGAAAAGGGAAAGGGAAGCGGAGAAAGAAGAGAAGGAAGAGGAGGAGAAAGGGATGAGGAGGAAGAGGAAGGAGAGGAAGAGGGGAGAAGGTTAGTCTTTTTCTAGCTGGTTTGCATTCTCTTTCTCGCATTTGTATGCTGGAGCCACTGTTTCTTCCCATGAGAAACTTTAGTGAATATTCTTTATTTACAAGAGATGACCATTACATTCATGTCTTGGGCCATTTTGATCTCTGATTTGCTTTAAATTAACTGATGAGATGCCCAGGTTCATGTTCAGTTCCGGAGGTACCCACTGAGTACATCCCACAGACACACACCTGAAAACACAATAGCTGTTGGTGGAATAAGTAGAACAAAGTAATGGAAGTACTTGTTTTTCCTTTCTTACTCTGAGAGAATGAGTTGCCTTAAGATTTAGGTGGAATGTTTAAGCTTTGTAATTAGATTTTAAATATTAAATTTACATCAGGTTTATTTGTATGTTACTGTCTTGGATTCTAATCATCAGAAAGAGCAGGGTGGTGTGTGTTCTGTGAAAAATGTGTTCACATTGAAAATGGACTTGGGGAATGTTTGAGGCTCTAGAAAACTGTAGGCACCATATGCCAAGACACCCAAGGCTGGATTCCCAGAATTCAGAGTCTGCCCTTGCTCATGGGGTGCAGGCAGGGCCAGGAGCTTGCTCATGATTTTCTTATGCTGTGTTCACCCCCAGCTGGTGCTCCTATGTGCTCATAGAGGGCACACATGCATATGTGCAAAAAATTCAAGTTCACATGTGTACGCACACACATACACACAAACACACACCTGGATGCCCTCTTCAGTCAAAGGTCTTCTGGCGCAAGGTGACGGGTGAACCAGAGGTGGTGCAAGGTGATAGGTGAGCCGCTGAAGCAGGTGTGTTCTGTGCCAGACAAGGTGTGGTGAGCACACAGCATAGACCATCAGCCACCTCTGTGGATGGAAGTACACAACAGTCAGGGATCCAGGCATGCCATAGACAGTGTGGAGAACAAAACAGAGACCCACAACAGTATAGGTGCCTGGTTACTGGCATGGGGAAGCTGAGGCCAAGATGTTAAGGGGGCATGGGGTTTGGCCAATGTTGCTATGTCCTGAAAGATAAGAACTCTAGGCTTATACTGACATGTAAAGAATTAGAGTCAACCAAACTTGAGTTTGTGTTCAAACTTTGTTCTAGTGGTGAGTTACCTCACACATCTCTGAGCCTCCCTCTCTCCAGTTGCAGAAGGGAGGGAAGGAGATGACCGAGAAAAACAACTGACGAATGCCTATTTGAGAGCAGAGGTTTCATACCAGGCGGAAGTTCATGGAACTGTCCCTGGCTGGGCCAGAGAGTGGAGCCGTGTGCAGTGCAGGCATCTCTGAATGCTTTCGGAGCAGGGAGACACATGAAGTAAGGACAGAAGGAGGAAAGGGAGGAGGAGGAGAAGGAAAAGGACGGGAGAGCAGAATGAAGGAGGAAGCAGGTGGAAAAGGCAGAAAACGATGTGACAGACACGGGGAGAGAGGGGAGAAAGCAAAAGCCAAAAGGCGTGACGGAGCAGATGGGCAATGCAAGAATAAAGAGACCCTTTTGGGCCTGCACACTCCGTAGGAGCAAAATGAGAATGAGGCAAACCCACTGCTGCTCCCCTGGGCTGGTGCTTAGTGTCTGTCCTGCAGGGCTTCATGTCTCTTGGAGCAGCAGGAAATAACTCCCGTAAGTTCTAAGCCTCTCTATCCCACGGCATCATGAGAAATACAGATGCTGTTGTCCTAGACACCTAGGCCTAAGGAGTCAGTGCCACCTTACTCACGACATGGGTCCCAGCCCTGCCCTCAGCCCTGAGAGACTCAGGCCTGAGATGTCAGGCAGGCAGGCAGCACGTCTCTAGCAGGACCCAAGTACCTTGACCTTAGTCCATTCATCCTGAGGCTTTTGAGAGCATCCTACATCCCGAGTGGCCTCTTTTGATCTGATCTGTGAATCTCTGGGGTGTTCTTACCCAATATAAAAGGAAACCGTCTGAGGAGGCACAACAGCCTAGTAGAGAGTGGCAGCCAGGCCCTCACACACACACTCCTGGTTTCCAGGTGGGCATCATGATAATCCAAAATGTCACCCAGATAGACACAGGTGCCGGAGTCAGGAGGGAAAGCTTGATTGGATATGCATCTGAAACAGTGCCCTGTTGGGGCTGGAGATGTTCAAAGGCCTCTCAGATAATGAGGGAGGACACAAGGTGGACATGAAGCCTAGAGATACTGCGTCTCTACTGCATGACAAGATGGACTCTGAGGGTATTCTCCTTTAGCTCTACTCACACGTTGTGTGGCATGGAGTGAACAAAAATCACCCAGGCAAGTGACATGAGCCAAAGGCTGGGCTGCTCTCGCCCAGTTCATCTCACCGAGGCTCTGTCTCAACTTCATACTGTTAGTAGGATACCCCATACTTGTTGGGGTATGGAACAAAACACCACAGAAATGTAAGCAAAAGTCCTGATCCCTGGACTTGGAACCAGGACGCGTGCCCAAAGCAGTGCGTGGCTTTGAATAGAAAACAGGTAACCTTGTCCTGCCTGTTGGCTGGTACACACCATCTAATTCACCCTGGTCCCAGCAACCTTGTTCTTGATCCCATCTTTCCCAGCAAGATCTGAGAGGAGATACAGGAAGCATTCGGGTCCCAAGGCCCTCCCCAGTTGGGCAGAGGTGAGCCTCTGGCTGTAGCTCTTTGGCCCACATGATGGTCAGGAGTGTATTTCAGGAAGGCACTAATTCTGTGCCAGCCTTGCTGTAGTCCGGAAGCTCAGGAGGAGGAGGAGGTGGGTATGCCTCGCCCAGCAGTATGTTGTCTCTCAAGCACGAGGGCTCTAGCGGGTGGCATCAGCTTCATATTTGCTGTTGTCTATGCAAAATTTCTGGTCAGCACACTCCTCAGATGATTGTCATTAAGAGTCAAATACCACAAACAAACTTTAGGCAGAGGTAGTTGAAGTCCGGGACTCCCTTCCTCTTTCAGTTTAACTAGCTGCTAGCTTTGAAGCCATCACAGAAGTGATACTTGTAATTGTGTTACACCTGTCAGACTCTATCAGGCGCAGTGCATAGGTCATTGGGTTTAGCAGTCTGCAAGAGGCTGTTCCCACCACCTTTAATGAGGGAGAGGTGGAGGCCTTACCCAGCATCCCTCACAACTAGTTGGAGCACACATCTGCCTCTCCCAGCAGCCATTGCTCAATATTTGCTGTTTCTCTTAGGTCAGAGGTATCATCTATGGGCTCCTTTCTCCTTGTAATGTTCCTCAACCTTAAAGGATACTAGTAAGGTTGCCAGTGCAAGGCCAAGCATCTTGAACCAGGGAAAAGGAGATATTAGCAAAGCAAACACAAAGCCATCCTTTCCTTGCTCCGGTTGGGCAGAGGAACAGAGGAGGAAGGGGCCGAATGAAAGCAGTTGCCATTCTGTAGGTGCTCACGCCAGGTGCAGGCTCTCTGCTACAGCACTTTGCACATTCCAGCAATTCTCACCATGTCCATGACAGGTAGGAACAGTTAACATCCTCTTTGCACAGGAAGAAAGTGAGACAGGAAGAGTCACACAGCCCCAGGTGCACAACTGCCACCCAGCAGACATGGGATATAGAAACACAGGGCCAGACTCTGTCTTGGAAACCTAGCCAAGTGCTAAGCCCTCCTCCTGCACAGAGCATAATCCTAACAATAAGGCTGGTATTGGGGGCTTTTCAGTCTAGCTCATAGCTCTCAGTGACTGCACTCTATTCCCGCAAGCCATGTAGTGCTCTGGCATCTTGGGGATCCTCCCCATCTCAGTCAGCCTAGAAGACAAATTCCCCTCTGGGAGCTTGTTGGTGAACACAGACAAGACCATAGTTAACTGTTTGGACTGCTAGGGAGAAAAAGGTTGTGGCATGCTGTGGGGCTGGGAAATGATTGATTGTTATACCGATATAGCTTCCTAGAGAAGTGGGGAGTGGTTAGCCTTGAATATTGAAGAAGTTTTGATGAGCAGCAGAGAGAAAAGGACGAGTATTTCCAAACAATGCTCCAGAGGCACCTTAAGGAAGCAATTCTCAATCTATGGGTTGCGACCCATTTGGGGTTGCCTTTCAGATATGCTGCATATCAGATATTTACATTATGATTCATAAGAGTAGCAAAATTGCAGTTATGAAGTAGCAATGAAATAATTTTGTGGTTGGGAGTCACCACAACATGAGGGACTGTATTAAAGGGTCCCAGCATTAGGAAGGTTGAGAACCATTGCCCTAAGGAGACAAACACTTTAAAGAGAGGCTATGTGTCTACAGTATGTGGTTGTGGTTGTGAATACAGGGCATCCTGGTGTGTTTTGTTTATGCAGAGAGGACATTCTGCTATCCAGGCAGCATGCACAGATGGTCTTGTTTGACCCGAGGCAATGAACCAGCATATGAAGAAGATAGCATTCTAGGAGAAAATCGCTGGCTTTTCTCAGTGACCGGCACCACCTAGCCAACACTGCCATGCACCAGCACACAGGGCTCACCCCACTGATCCTGGCTTCCCCTTACCAGAATAATGAGTCACCAGGTCCTCTAGGCACTGGAAGGTGAGCCTTGGTGAGATGTAGTACCAGTTGTTGGGCAGGCGGAAGATGCGGTAATGCTTCACCTGCCTGTGTCTCACCGACAGCGAGTAGAAACCTGAAAGGAGAGAGAAGGGGTCAGGAGTAGCCATAGCATCCTACATAGAGATGCCGGCCTACCTAATCCAGGCAAAGAGATGCCCCCTTGGACTTCTCTGTGTGGCGCCTGTCAGCAGCCTCATCAAATTTTTATGTTGGTTCATTGTAGAGCTTTACCTGTGACTTGATCAGCCCTGAAGGAATGGATAGTGGCCTTTCCTCTTGCACCTTTTGGAGGTAAACTCTGTCATCTCCTGCATTTGATTAGAGCAGATAAAGTCTCCGTGGCCCTTGAGTCCTTCCCAATTGTGAGCTGAGATGTTTTAACTGGTGTTGTCCCCTCCAGCCCCTGTATCCCTAATGTCCCCACACTGTATGCTAAGAAAGGGATCCCATAGTTCTTCGCCCTTCATGCTCCCCACTCCTTAATTTAAGCGAGATTTTCGTCGAAAGTTGGAGCAAGTGTCAGTTGGCATGTGTTCTGGGTCATTGAGAAATCTATGAAAGATGTGGCTTCTCCTTCCGTATCATCAGCGAGAGAGAACCCCCTGGCAGGTACCATCACCTCTTGTAGCCTTGGTGTCCCCAAGGGGAAAGTAAGACCCTCGGGCTTAAGTCATGTTTGAGTCCCTCCCTCCCCTGGCCCCACCCTTTAGCTTTCCTGAAGTGGCTCACTCTGGAGGCAGTGAGAGGGGAAGGCGCTCCCTCACTCAGTCTGTGCTGCCAGTAAGGCCTGGGAAGACTGTCCCTGAATACTGTAGAGCGGGTGACATGGAGGCTCCGGACCATGAATGGTGTGTCCAGAGTCACCTCACTGGAGATGGCATCCCTGGATGCAGGCCTCAGCCTCAGCCCCCTGACCACCAGGAGGGGCATGTGTATCTAGTTCCACTTGAATCCTGGCTTTGAAATCACCTACTATGTGACTTCCAGCCATGTTGACAGGAACTAGAAGTGTAGCAAGCAGGTCTGCATTGGCAAGCAGAAAATCATCAGAACTGTGACTACCCAATGGGAGGGGTCTGCTATCTGGCTCCACCCTCTGCTAGTCTGCCTGAAGACCGAGGTTAGTGTGACTTGGGGTGAGCTGTGATGCCCTGGGTCTTCCATCCCCGGGGTCATGTTAACCTTGGAGACTTTGAGTGCTCTGTGTGTGGAAACCCCTGAGACCTACATATGGCTTCTGTCTCTGATTTGCTCTTAGATACATAGATTTTGGAGAGAAAGTTGCTCTGGGACATCTATGGTTACAAATTACAGTCCCTGCTTCCCCAGAGCTGAGTGACCTTCTCCAGCATCAAGTGGCTCCTAGTCCTTAATAGGTCCTGGAAAAAACCTCATAGATACCATGGTTTCTCTCCTGTGAATGAAAAACAGGCTGAGAACTTGAAAGCTTTGCTTTCCTCTGTTTAAAAAGGCCACAACCCTAGACAAAGAACTACAGGCCACTAAGGAGTTCTGTGAGCAGGAGAAATAGCCCCCCCCCCCAGGAAGAAGCACAGCAACTGGTTATCCATACCAAATGGTCAGCCTTGAAAACGTACATACAAGTAACGTTATACAGACTGAGCAGGTTTTACTTAGGTGTTTAGGAATATTTATATGCACACGTATATGTATATACATGTTAACAATTACAGAAAAGAGACCATGAATTTGAAAGAGAATAAGTGTGTATGGGGGTGTGATACATGTGAAGGTTTGGAGGGAAAAAAAAGGGAAGGGGAAATTATGCAATTACATTATAATCTAAAAAGAAGAAGAAACTAAAAAATATTTTAGATTGCAAAAAATTAAAAAGAGAAAAGAGACACATCAGTACTGACACTACCCTTGGGCCCCTGCTTGCGCAGTGACAAGGGCTTGGCTGTTTCTTTTTTTACTGACACAGGAAATCAGAATGATAATGATCTCTGTGAGTTTACAAGCTCACACCTGCTTGCCCTTATTCTCTGGGATGCCCCATTTTTTCCCAGCACAGAGGTAACTGCCGCTGAGGGCCTGTGCACAGCGAGAACATTGTGTACACTCCACTTGACTCTTACACGACTTCTCAGATGAGCACAGTTCAGAGAAGTAAACAGTCGGCCCAGGAACAGAGCTGGTGAGCACAGGCCGGGCCCAGACTGATGTCTCTGGTCTGTGTGTCAACACGCTGCCCAGGTCTGCCATTCACATGTTCTCAGTTGATGGAACTATAGCCTGCCTTATTTCTATCCCCTGCTCTCATGGTGGGTGTGCCACCAGGGAGCTGACCATAGGACTGGGTCTATTTATGGGTGAGAAGGAGAACAGATCCGTAGCAAGGCAGCCACCGAGAGATAATGTGCTGTGTGGCCACCTGGGGAGAAAAATGGCTCACCTTTCTTTGTTTCACTCTCCCGGATCATGAAGGAACCAATCTTTGTGTCTGGCAATTGCAGCAGCTCCTCGGCCTTGTCCCTGCCCAGTCCTTCAAACAGCCAGCTAGGGGTGAAGAGGACAGCCTTAAGTGGCCACAAGAAATCAAGGCAGGCTAACACAAGAGTAAACACAAAGTGAAGACTAGTTACCAGAAAGCTGCCAAAATTCCACAGATGAGGGAAGCCAACTGTTGATTCATCCATCCATCCATCCATCCACCCATCCATCCATCCATTCATCCATCCATTCATTCATTCATTCATTCATTCATTCATTCATTCATTCACTCACCCATTCTGCAATCTTTCAAATGAAGTGCTCTGAGTAGCTGTTTGTACCCAGTGTTAGGTAAGGAATGACTAGGAATATAAACTATATATGATATTTCTTGGTCTGTTTCTCAGGCCTGACTAGAGCTGGCTTTGACCTTGTTATATCATATTTGTACACTGTGTGGTGCTACCCTGTGCCGGACACTTCTGTGCATCCTCTACACTCTACACCCTGCCAAAGCGACACTCCCAGGATTGTGCTGTCCTATTTCTTTTTGGTGTCTAGGGCATTGTACTCGAACAGGTTTAGGAATGACAAAGTGGACATGGGAAAGGAGAGAGGTGCGGTGTTGTCCTGCTGCTGAGCAAGTGGCACTCCCTCCTGCTGCTGCTTGCCATATTTAAGCATAATGACCACTGCGTGTTTGTACGGTTCTTACTGTTTCCACGACAGTGGCCCAATAGAAGCAGAAGGGCTGCTTCCTTCCCCAGGGCAGTGACATACAGGGTGCTCAGAGAAGAACACCTTGGACCAGAGCAAGCTGTGTCCAAATTCAGTTGGCCTCTTCTTACTTTTCATATTGAACTCGGACAGTTTTCTGCTGAGGGGGAAATGCGCTGTTGGTAGGTGGTCAGCCTATACCTCACTTTAACAGGGGCACTGTATTTTAGAGAAAGACTACTGCCTGCTAATCCCCAGGTCTAACTCAGGCTGTGAAGAACAGAATAACATTTCAGTCTGCTGCTGCATGATTCACCAAGGCACACCCAGGCTGGGGTTGATTGAAGCAGGCAGGCTGAGCACCCCTGAGCACTGGGTTCTGGGGGCACCACAGGTACAGAAATGGTTCCATTTACCTGTGGGCTCAGCACCATTCATCACTGTCCTTGTTAGAACCATAGTACCTTGTAGTTTTAAATTTTCTAGCTGTTACACAGCGCAACAAAATATACCATGTATTAGTTTCAATGTATATGACAAATACTTAACACAACCAAGCCCTTCTCAAAACGCCACTTACAACTGTGAAAGTAAACACCAAGAGCCATGTAGGGATATGAATTATTTTAGTATATTGCTAGTGTATTAAGACTATAAAGGCTAACCCCTACCCACCTTAAATCTCCTAAATAGGCAAGACTTCCCCTCTGCCACAAAAGAGGAGTCTGAGGACCAGATTGATTAAGCAATTTATCCAAGTTATCATCACCAGTTGAGAGAGCGAAATTGTGCGTTCTGAGGGGCTGCACAACCCCTTAGCATCCTACTGCACTTGTTTGCTTCTAGTTCTATGCTTTGGGAAATGCTATCGCATCTATTAGGTGAGCTGCTTGATAAGACCAGGATTATGTTAGTCATCTAAGTTCTCACCACTTCAGCTCCTACAACTGCCCTGAGACTTCAATAGGTAGGAGTATGTCAGTGTGTGTTCTCTGGGAACGAGCAAGCGTATCAGAGCCCCTGGATTATGAGCAATGTCTAACTCCAGTCTCTTTTGGACATGACTACCATAGGAACCACCTCTGTTCACCTTCCCCACTTTGAGCACAGATGATTAAGATCCCCAACAGTGGAATCAAGAGCTTGCACATCACCTTCCCAGGGGAGGCCTGTGGCGTCTGTCAGGTTCTTGACCACTTGAACAGTGGCGTCGGCTTGCTTCCTGCTTCCTCTCTGTTCTGCATGTTTAGGCTGAGGTTTGGCCTTGGTAGCTTGACAGAGGAGGAGCTTGTGGTTTGGCAAGGAAAAGACACATTCCTAAGACCCTTCTATGGAAGAAGTGAAGCCTGTGTGTGAGTTTGGCAGAGCCCAAAGCCCATGGAAGCCTCCCAGGAGGCTGTGAGGCCCCTGCCTGGCTGCAAGAGCAAACATGTCTGCTCCTGTCCTACAAAGCCCAGTGGACTGGCTGCGCCTCTGTCTGTGGCTGCCTTTAGTCAGGAGTCACAACCAACATTTACAGAAGTGTGCTCCCTGTGCTACCTAGCACCCACCTCATTCTTCTGAGAACCTCCACTTGGGCGGTGTGACTCTGTATTATCACCCCATGACCCTACACTGTGATCTCTACCGAACAACTGAGGATACACACAGAGCTAAGAAGCTTGTTGTCCATAATCTAATGGTCTGGAAGTGACAGAGGCAAGATTTGAACCCAACAGAGACTGGCTTCTAGTCACTGAACCAAGGTGCTTCCTATACACAGTGCTCGAGCACTCGGATATGAGATAGGAACACTACGTGCTGAGCAAGAAGGTCCAACTCGCTTCATTTCACTGCTCAGGAATCAACCCAGAAAGTGGAAGGATTAACCCTGAGCCGGGGTATAAGCAGTGCCATCTTTCCACTATACCGTGCTAGAGCTCCTCTTTACCACATGAGTCATACACACACACACACACACACACACACACACACACACACACACACACACACTGACTGAATGATGCTTTTCAGAAGTGTACTTACCCATGGTACACTCTGGCCACGCACATTCCTGGAATGTAACTTTCCCGGCCAGTGCTGAGAGAAATGGCCTTCCACCAGCCCCCTTCACTGTCGGGACAAAGCAGAGAGGAGAATGTGCTCGGGTAAATGGCAAAACCAAAGAAATGTGGTCATCAAACTGTCCCACGGCAGTGTGGGGCATTCCTCTCTCAAAATCTGCCATCGCCACTCAGGCCTGCCTGTCTCCAGTTAACAATTTAGGTTTCTTGTATGCTTGTATGTGTGTACCTATGTGTGTCAGGGTATGGTGTGTGTGTCATATGTGTGCATGTGGAGGTCAGAAGTGAACCTTGAATGTCATTTCTAGGATACTGTCCACCTTTTTTTTTATATTTTCAATTTATTGTATGACGTATTCCTGTGTGTGTGTGTGTGTGTGTGTGTGTGTGTGTGTGTGTGTGTGTGTGTGTAGTGTGCGTGTGCATGTGAATGATGTGGGGGATGGGGACATGTGCTTACCACAGCATGCATGTGGAAATCAGAGCACAACTCTGTGTAGTTATTTCTCTCTCCTTTCACCTGTATAAGGGTCTGAGGGATCTAACTCTGACCACCAGGCTTGGGCCGCGAGCCCCTTTACATTCTGAGCTGTCTTGCTGGCCCCAACCTTGTTTTTAGGGACAGGGTCTCTTTCTCTCACTATCTTGGAAGTTGCTAAGTAGTCGAAGCTGTAAGTAGGCGAAGCTGGCTGGCGAGGCCTGTCTTTTTCTTCTCCGCACTGAGATTACAGATAGTTGTGTGTGCTCAAGCCCAGCTTTTTCATTTGGGTTCTCAGAAGTTGACCTCGGGTCCTCATAACTTCCATGGCAAGCATTTTACCAATAGAGCCATCTCCCAGCCTAAACGTTTAGTTTTTTTTAAAGCCCGTATGTATAGCCAGCAGACATCGCGCACTGAAAGCCGCCTGGGGAACCTGCTCACATGCTGATGACAGTACCACCCCTGGGGGACCGACAGTTCATTTCCTCAGTTGACATGCACGATTGAAGAGTTTCAAAAACAAAAGCTTCCTGTGCTGGTTTATCCTCTCAAGTATAACCAAACATCCGTTTGTACGTCTCGATCAACGAGACTCTAAACCGAAGGACTAGTCCATGCTACAGGCTGTTCGGAATCATCCTTAAAGATACTGGCAGGAACGAAGGTGGTGTTGTTATCGCCTACAGTGTTTTTGGACCCTGCATCTCCTTCCCAGCATGCCCTAGTGAATAACATCGTCCTGCATATTCAGAAACTGATGAGCTCAGTGGAGGAAGCAAGATTTGCCATAAAGGGGCTCGAATGTTAAGGAGTTTAGATCTATTTGGCAAAGAGCGAAGAGCCAGTGGAGGCTTTAAGTCCCAGGAGTACTTAAAAGGCAGGTCACAGCAGGGGCCAATTTCTCAACGTCACAGCAGGACCAGGACCCACGTAGAACTGGACAACTGACCACGTCTGAAAATCTGATGGGGTTAGTTGGGGGATATACATGTTTTGAGAGGCTCACTCACTCAGAAATCACTCGCAGTTTCTCTCCTCTCCGGAATATTGGGGGGCTGATGTCAGGAGATGGGTAGTCATTCAGCACAGCCAGGAAGTCACTCTCAAGTCCTGGAAAGCAAAGTGGAAGGGTTTTGACTGACCAGGCACAGGAGGCAATTGAGAATAAGGAGAGACGAAAATGCTGGGGGGTGGGGGTTCACCTCTGGAGCAGTGGTTCTCAATCTGTGGGTCACAACCATTTGGTTGTGTATCATGTGTATCAGATATTTACATTACAATTCATGGTACTAGCAAAATTACAGTTATGAAGTAGCAATGAAATAATTGTATGGTTGGGGGCCATCACAACATGAGGAACTGTATTAAAGGGTCTCAGCATTAGGAAGGTTGAGAACCACTACTATGGAACTTCCCAGCTTGTCCTTATGAAGCTCTCCTCCCACCCACCCAGTGTTCCAGGCCGCTTCTCCATGGAGATGGCCTTAAGACAGACCTTCAGGCCTCTGACAGCTACAGAACATGCTCTTAGTACAGGCCCATTGTGGCCACCATATTCCCATCTGAAAAATTGGGTCCAGAGACCTAGAAGCCAGAGTCCCACCATTTGGCTTTATTTCAGGATCTGCTCTGTGGTGTCTATAAGCCTCAGTGTTTCCATCTTAAAAATGGGATAACAGATGAAAGAATGCCTACCCCAGAAGGCTATGAAAAGACTCCTTCTTGGAGGGATTCACATGGCCCTACTACAACTTGAGGTGGTTAATGGGTTGCTCTGGAGAGGGAGTCGTTCCCCTCAGTAGTGTGGCCACTGAGAAGTTGCCCAAACTCCCATAAATATTCCCCTATCTGTGCTCACACACGCGATCCTACTTAAACTAGGTGAGCCATAATAACCAAATAAGAGAGGGCCTAGTTGGAAAGAAGGTGTCCAGCAGGAGGAGGTACAAGGCAGTAGGAGGGGCGGATCTGATCAAAGTACACCACATATGTGTATAATTGTGATAAGAAGACAATCCCTAGTACTGTTTTTCCAAGTGCCTTCCGAAGGCCCTGTGGGTCCCATATCTGTGGCACTTGTGGAAGAGGGTCGGGCTAATGGATTGAGAGTCTCCTCCAGGGCCACAAGGCTCAAGCTCTGTGGTTTAAAAGCCTGAGTGGATGGGCACTATGTCAGCAGGGATTTTAAGTAGCGTGTAATGGTGGATGAAACATGAGTACTTTCTGTTGTAGGTACATTACAATTTCAGTTCCATAACTTGACATCTGAGACTCAGCATGACCTCAATTCTGCTTCCCCCTAATAAGAGCTCACGTATGTATGAAATTTAATGACGTTTTGCAAAGGAAGTGTATATGCTTTTTGGTTCATGTGAGTCCAGCTAGACACAGAGACGCAGTGATAAGATGCCAATCTCCCTCCTGATGCTAAGCAACGTTTGCCTCCATCCTTAGTGATTTTCCATAACTCATATACATCCAAGCAGGTTAGAGTTGGGTTCCTTCTAGGGAAACAGCACACTTACAAAGCAGCACACATAGTTACCGCTGTCCCTGCTAGCTGGGTATCAGAACCCCACACTTCTGGGCTACATCTTATACTTGTTCAATTAATGGCTCTTCATTGAGCCCCAATCCTGAGCCAGCCTCTTCCTGCTTGGTAAGAGGCCACATTCTAGATCCCAGGATCACATGAGCCATTGCTTGTGTGTGGCCTCAGAAAGTTCAGTAGAACCTCAGCTGTGCAGCTGGGTCCCTAGCAAGCCTCTTTCAATGATGTACTCCGGCTCTGAGCTCTCACAGTCTGGAGGTCCTACAGGCCAACTTCTAAATCTCTTACACAGACTGAGCCAAACAGAGATCGATCCTGATGCCGAGGGAGTGAGATGAATGAAGCTTCCAGGAAAGGGACTAACTGCCAGTTGGTGAATGAATCAGAAATCAGTTATCGTGGTGGAATAGTACACGTAGATGTGTTGTTCACTAGGGGAAACTGAGTCATGGGCAAAAAACTATGTAAAAAGTTTGCGAGAGGAAACTGAAAGTGAGCACCCTAATGAGGTCACTGGAGAGGAGTAAGGACTCCCAAGGAATAGCTCTGTCAGACCTGAAAGGTTGGCTCAGTGAGATTGCCGGCCTCAGCCTGTGGATGAATGACCTCCACACTCTGCCTTAACAAATCTTCAAAAAGAGGTTCTTCTCTTTGTGACCTCAATACCACCCCTAGAAATTAGAAGCAGCACTCAAGCTGGATTGGGTTGGAAAGCAGAGGTCCTGAATCCTGATAAGGGGCGGAGCCAGCCTCTGGGGCATGAAGCTGGTGCAAACTTGGAGGTTACTTATAAATAAAACAAAGTTCAAGTGCAGGGGGAGGCCCAGGTCAACAGGGAAGACTGGGCAATGAGAGGAGGGAGGGGAGCGGGTAGGAGAAAAATCTTCTCTGAGAGTCTACCTAGCTATGTGGAGTCCGGGTATCTGACGGCATGCCCCCCTTTCATGTCCACCCCCACCAAGGGTTTCTTATTCTGTAACCATGATAGGCTGAAAATTCTCTTGAGATAGACACACATTTTCCGGGCCTGATGCACCCCAATGTGAAAGAGCCACTTACTCACTTGACTGCCTCAGCTGGGGGTAACAGGCTTTTCTCAGGCTTGTCTTGCTTCTCAGGCCCCACAGCCTCTCCAGATGCTGCTGTCCCTCTGCCCAGTCCCACTGGCTCTCCTCCTCACTCCTACCATCCCCCCTCAGCAACTCCAGCCAGGAGAAGAGGATGATGCTATCGTTTACCTGAGGTTTCTCCTTGGAAGCAATGTCTCAAAGTTGCCCTGGTACATGTATGTGATGGTCAGAGGAATACTCTGCCATGGCTGTGAGCTCAGAGAGGACCCAGCACTTGGGAATGTAATGTCATCCAGCCTTGGGTCCAGCCTGGAGCCTGCCACTTAGAGAATCCTACAGGCATGTGTGTGGAGAACAAGGAGCAGAGCTTCTTTTATGGGTCCTCTGTGCCATGTCCCCAGAGGATTCCGGGCAGAGAAGTCCTGATTGGTTTGCCCACTTATGAAAAACAGGGTTGAAATGACTCCTAGAATACGTCGTCTATGACAAGAATAGAACCTTGACGTAGAGCCTGGGCCCACCAAGGTGTCTGTGGTTTGACGCAGTCGCACTGCACACTCAAGGTTAAAACTGTGAAACCTTACAAAGCCATCTTTTATAGCGTCAGAAACCAAGCAGAACAGAAATAAAGAGAGCACAAAAGCCCATAGTGAATGTAAGAGCTGCAGTGAAAAAGGGGGGAGGGGGCTCGCGAGCGCTGCAGTTGCGGGGTAGCAAAGGCAGGTTCTCGGGGAGTTTCCTGAACAGCAATGTTTTCACAATAATGACAGCGAACTGTCCACCAAGACAGCCTTGCACTTGGGCCTCTGCCTAAGGGTTCTCGCAGGAATGTCATAAGTGCCCCCCATCCCCTTGTCCCCAGAGACACTAGAAGTCATGCAGCCTGACTTAAGCCTCCAGGGACAACACCCTGGCCACTGGGAGCAAATTCAATTGCAGGGTCCCCTGTCTTCCCTGAGCTCGGTCCCTACAGAGAAATAAATATGGGTGGTAGGGTATGAGCTTTCTCTTCAAGACATCTTCAAGCCTGCTCAGAGCCCTGGCCTTATGGAAAGTCGAATACTTATTACTTTTTTATTTAAAAAAGAACTAAATTTTCATGTTGACAAACCACTGCAGACATTCTGACCTAAGTTTAAGCTACCTGATTAGGCAGACATACACGTTTAACATCTAGTCTTCTGGAAACAAAATAGGAGGATGCTATAAACCCATTAGGACTTTACCTTATGTTCAAAGTGGACTTTGATTCCTTTTCCAGAGAGCCGAACATTTAGATCCAACCAGATAGTGAGTGGGGGTAGAAGAAGAGGGTTAAGGAAGGAGGGGCATGATCAAGTTTCAGACTCACAGAACAAATGTGTGCTGGCCACGAGAAGCCCAGAGCATTTGAAATCAGCTGGACTGACCCACATGCCACCACTCAGAGCTCTGGAATTTGAAGGAAGGCTTTTTAACAAATCAGAGCTTAACTTGTTCTCATATAAAAATGGGAACTATTAGAATCTGCCTTGTGGTGGATTATGCAAATCCAGTCTCGGTGACTCACAGGTCATTCCCATCCAGGACAAGCACACTCTTTCACAATCAAGACCAGTTCCAGCCAGATCATCTCAGTGCTAATGCTACCCAGGAATGGCAATGCGAGCATGCGGTACACCTGGTTCATCTAAACACAAACTCTACTTGGTAAGAGGGAAAAGGAAATTCGGAATACCAAATACTTGCTGATACCTGGGGAGTGAGTAGCAGTGGGGAAGAGAATATACAAATATATCACGTAAGGAAGGGAACTGGAGGAAAAAGGAGTCTAGACAGAGCTTACTGGACAGACACCTTACCTAGTTCATAAAGAACAGACCTTTGAGGCATAATTATTCTTTAATGTGTTTTGACCAGCTTCTTCTCTAATGCTAGCACTAGCTCAGTAGCCCCATTGGCGGCTGTAGCAAACACTTCAGCCATCCCTTCCTTCTCATGTTCTAGCCAACCTCATGGGGCACCTGTTCCTATCTGGAGGATGAGGAAGGCAAAGCTGGAGAGAATTAGTGGCATGTCCAGGGAACAGCATAAGACTGAAGATCTATAATTACTGCATATAGTTCTCCATGCACCTTGTGTCCAGGATCTTCTCAGTCAGCACTCCATTGTCCACAGATAAAGCCCAGATCCAAGGGAGCCTTCTGAGCTGGTACAGGCAGCCCATGTGGCTAGTGGGTGCAGGGCTAAAGGACTGAATTATTTCAGCTTCTGCTTTCACACCCTCTTTGAGTCATCACCAAACTCAGGGGCTCCTGCAAGGTCACCATTAGGCCTGACTTTCAGTAACTTTGTCAGGAAGCAACACATGACCAGTGCCAATCAGATGGCACTGCACTTCGGCATGGAGGAAGGCCAACCAAGTTCTGCTGATGGATGTAAGCCAGGTCTGTGGGGCCTATTATCTACAGGCATGGATTTCACAGGGTACTGACTAGCATTTTATGACATTCATGAAGTGTAAAGTGACTCAAAAGTTAAATCCACTTCCTCCTAAAGCCATCCCATGTTCCAGGAGTGGGTTAGCGATATAGAAATGAAAAGACCTAGACCAAGATCTGACTGGTTCTTCGTTTATGGGACCTCTCACGATGGCACAAGAGTGTCTGTGTCATTGAATCTGATGACCTGGCATAGTTCCTCACTCTAGGCACATCCTCTCTCAGAGCACAGGCTTCCCTGGAATATGGTGGACAATAATAAGAGGGACACTGGACACTCCTCTCAGGCCATCCGGTGGTTTAACCTCACTTTTCCCCGATGAACTAGAGGGCTTTAGGAGACTCAACCTTCCTGGCCTCCGTTTCTTCAACTGCAAATTGAAGGGGAGGATAGTGATGATGTGGTTGGGCTATTATAAGAATTAAGAGTCACTCTGAAGGAATTTACATGGGGTATGCTATTGTGGTGGGAGATGCGTGTGTGTATGCAATGGCTCCTGTCGTAAGCATAAAGCTCTTAGAACTGTGTGTGGCACACCTCGGGCACCAAACCACACTTCGATTATTCCTGTCATAAAAATGAGAGCCAAGAGACACCATGATGAGCTGGTCAATCACCTTTTGATGTGTATTAGGTGCAGAGTCGGGACTGTCCTGGGATCTGCCAGCCTTAGGGGCTGAAAACCTACCAGGGCCCGGTAGGAAATACAGCTTGCTGTTTCTATCCACCTTCCACCCACCATCACAGTTCTGCTGGGTCTTGAGATTTCTGTTTCCTTCTTCCCTTTGCCTAGATCAGCTCCTTTTTACAAGAGTTATCAGCAATGTAAATGCATGTGGGATGGGTTCTGAGCACAGCTGGTTTGCATGGTCAACTCTGACATGAGATGTCACTGTAGGTCACACAGTGATGTGGAGGGAAGACCCAGAAGGGGGAGGGGCTTATCACGGCAGAGTAACTAAGTTGTCTTTATGGGGTGGAGGGATGTATATTTCCCCAACATCCTGGGAGCCCCCACCCCGGTTTTAATTAACTCTGTGCTGCATGAGTGTGGCCCAGGGGAGATGTCTGAAGTTTGCATGGGCTGGAAAATTTCACTATTTGTAGTTCTGTGAGAAAGTTCCCAGGGTTTCCAGTTCCACTGCTTTTACACTTGAGAGATGTTCACACTTGAGGAAGGCTCACCCTTGAGGGATGTTCACACTTGAGGGAAGCTCATATTTGAGGGGTGGCCACCTAAATGCAGCCTACTGAGGTAGCTGACCTCAAGTGAGGCTTAAAGTATCCCCACTCTCACTACCAGCTCACAGCTCTTTGCTCTACTATGGTGGTAAGGGATCGTGGAAAAGTCCCTGATGGAAGACCTTGGGGGCCTTCCCCAAGGTCACACAGCTTCTAAAGGACACCACTTGGGACTCCATGGGGTCTTTTGCCTCTGAAGTGTACATTATTCCTACCAAATCTGACCATCTCTTTATGACATTAGTCCTTAGGAATCACACTGATGAAGAATGTTCTAGAAAGCTTAGTTGAGAAGAAAACAGACCATAAAGCCATATGCCCAGGCCTTCACTGTCCTGGCATGTTGAAAGAAGGAGCTTCCAGAAGCCACGAGAATTCTTTTGCCTTGAGCTCCCTAGGGCAGAACCAGGGGCTTTCCTGTCCTGAGCTCTTTGTCACCCAGGCCATGAGATGAAGCTATAGCCACAGGCTGGCCTGAAGCATCAGCAATTCAGGCCCTGCCTGATGGGAGCCTATTAGAATAACAGCAACCTGGCACCTTCTCCCTTATTCAAATGGGTATGTGAAGAAAGAGGAAATCAAGTCAGGCCTGCCAAGACAGGAAGCTTTTCAGGGTGGGGCAGTAAAGCAGCCTATCAAATGCTGGATATAACTATATGGATTATACCCTGGTACAGGCCTGGGGAATTCTAACCAGCAGCCCAAGGGGAGACCCCTGAACCTCCTTCTTAGAGGTGACCTCTTGCCCACACAATGGAAAAAGAAAAAAAAAGTACTCCATGGCAATTTGCATTTAAAAAAATAAAGGCAAATGGGCAAGTCCTTGGAGGTTGATGTTTTCATGAGGCTTGCTCAAGCATACAGGCCCTGCTGCCCCCAGCTGAGTAGTGGCAACTCAGCAGTGGATTTGGAGGAAGTTACATTATACTACCCATTCTCTGATGCATGTGTAGCCAGGAGTTGGTTAGAACAGAGTCAGTCCAGGGAGGGTAGGAAGGAGACACACTGCCTGGGGCAGCCCATCCTGAACTGAGTGTGGGAGGTGGAAGACACACACTCTGTCCACCTTGTCTTGGCAGGCCCGTGACCATTCTTGCTGTCTTCTCCTTTAGAAAGGGAAGGGCTAGGGTTGAAAACCAAGAGTCCCTAGGAGTGCCCCCTGCATCTGACTTGAAAGGGTATTGGGGCATGCTCTGCCCCTGTTCACAGCTAGCATCGGAAGGACCGTCAGCCTATAGTAGAGGCAGCTTCCTGGCTCTGTTTTGGAGAAAGTAAGCAGCTCCTTTGTTAAGAGCCCACAGGTGCCATGGAAGGAACAGTAGCCAGCAGCAAGGCAGCACCTCTTTTGTGTGAAGCCCTCGGTTGGCACGCAGGGTGGTTGTTGTCTGAGCTTTATGAATTCTGCCCAGTCCAATGCTACAGGGCACAGGGCGAGACACTGTCATCTCTTCTAGGAGACCTGAAATTGAGTGTAATGATAGGAGTTGGGAGGAAGACGTGTCCTGTAGTACCCCTGGACTCACCTTGCAAACCCTGTTGGCTCTCTCCCTTCCGACTGCCTACAGGGCCTCCACATAGCATTTTTCACTGACCCGACTAAAATTTTTCAGAAAGAAGAGTGAGGGTGTTAGGTAGGACACATAGCTGGCCCTGGAAACTCAGGTGATGCCTTCCCTCTGCTCGCTTATGTCCCCTCCACCCTGTGACTAGTTGTTGAAGGACTCTTTGAAGCTCTGGCAGTCTGGCTCGACCTTGCTTCTTGACACATAGCTGAGCTTGGCCACCTTGATTAACCCACAGCCCCGGCTTCTCCCCTAGAGTTCTGGTCTATCGCAGTCTTCCCTAGACAGGAGATTTCTTTATCTTCAACAGGATACCATGGAGATAGTATCTAGATTAGTAAAAGGGCTGTGACCACAGAAACCCCCCCCGCAAGACTAGCTGTGTGCCTGGGCAGGGGGAGGGTGTAGGATTTATCATGGACTGGCCAGCATCATGACCAAAAGCTTAGCTTTCAGAATTAGATGGTTTGGGTTGGGTCTCTGTGAGCAGCTAATGATGTGACCTGCATTCCTTTTGTGAGCCTCGGTTTCACCAATCTTAAAATAAAAGGATGGAGCCCACTGATCTCAGAGTTCTCTCTCAAAATGACAACACTTTTGAACTGCCAAACACCCCACCCTTTCAAAGTTCATTATTGAAAATTTGAACCACTTTGAATCACAAAGTGAGGGACTGGTACAATGGAACACTGATACCCACTGCCCAGTTTCAACAAGAACCATGGTCTACCATTGTCCAGGCTTTCCCGGGGGCTACTGCAGGACTAAGTTAAATACCTCTCCAGGGAAGTCAGACTTACCATCGGGGTTGGGTAATGGTCTCTCCAAAGGTGGAGGTGCGGATTTCATGCTGTTTCCCATCTTTCTCTCTCCTGGGACTGTGGAAGGTACTGGAAGCCTGCAGTACAAGAGACACACACGTAGAATGAAGCGCACCCAGAGTTCCCTGAGTGGAGAGTGACCTAGTTCAGAGCGCATGGTTCATCATTTCTCAGGCAGCCTGCTTCTTGAAAGGCGGCTGTTTTTTATGTCAAGATGCGATTCATGAGTGTTGGTTACAGAGGCACAGCTCAAATGCTTTTATCAAGGGGATGACAGAGAAAAACCACAGAGAAGGAAGTGCTAGCAAGTGCTGTTGGTGGCAAAAGTTTCCATTCCTCCACACCATTGCTGCTGCGCGCGCTCAGAGCAGGGGTTGCTGGAGAAGTTGAGCAGTGTTTGAGGTAGCCCCGAAGAAGCTGTGCTCACAGACTGTAGCCAACAGCTCTCACGGCCCAGGAATTCGGACACAACACACTTAGGAGCTGAAAGTCTTCACAGCCTGAAGGGGCAGGGCCAGGCCAGGCTGGGGGTGGGGTTTTGGTTTGATTCTTTCTTAACTGTTTGATGTTCCACACCTGTGTTAACAAAGGGTGGCAAAGGCCAGCTTCATGACCGTACCCTTTACTTGGTTGGTGTATGCTTTCCATGCTGATGAACACATTCACCTCTACCATAGCCTCGAGCATGTCAAAGCCTTGTGTCCTTAAGAAAACACACTCAAAAGGGGAAAATAACTGGTCCTAAGTCACATGCAGGTAAAGCAGCAGGTGTCTCGGTTGCCTCATAGTGGGGTCTCCTGGAGCCACACACGGACTACAGTGTTGTCACTTGCTTGAGAACCAATAACCTCCGGCAAGCGGTTAACATGTTCTTGCCTACTGTTGGGGGTTCTAGGGCAGTTTTGAGTAGTTGCCATAAAACTAAGTCAACACCAGCGAAACACACAACATGGCCTGACTAGTGAGCATCATGTTGACAATTCAAGATTCAAAGTACAACTTTGACTGAATGCACATGGCTTTCGGGCCACTGCCAAGCTTCAAATCTCAAGTCCTGTGTGCACAAGTTCTAGAAAGAGCCATGCTCTGAGAGCAAGGCCTCTGAGGGGAGGCAGAGGAAGGTCTGCACTACTTCCTACTTTTGGAGGAAGGGAAGCAGGCGGTGGAATCCCTCATCTATTAAGAAGCAAGGAGAACGAAAAGGAGGTTTTTCTTTTAAGACTTCTATGTTTGCAACGTTTACCTGAATAGTGCATGGATGGCAGTACTTCATAAAATGTTTTTAAATCCAGGACTGTGATGACTTAACACCCCCGCCCCGTCCCCATCCCCTGCCAGGGCAGTGGACAGTTCTGAGGCCTTCTGACCCATACCCAGCCCTGAGCCAAGGGCCTCAGGAAGACAGAACCTACTGACCAGACACAGCATATATGCATCATTCAAACTCTTTCCAGTTCTTCTCAAGTGGTTGTGAGCTGTTTGAGAAACCTATGTTTCTAAGATTCAGAGGAAGAGAGAGGGAGAGAGGAAGCAAGGTAGGAAGGGAACAATTGAGGGAGAGAGGAGGAGAAGAGAAAGGGGGGGTGGAGAAGAGGAAGGAAGGAAGGAACATTAGAAGCTTGCATCTTTTTCATATAAGAAAGCCAAGGTGCGTACCAGCGAGACAAACCCAGAGTCATTAGCTGATGAGGGCACAGGACGAGCTGGCCCTCCCTAGACCTGGGCCTTCTGCTCTTACCTCACTTGCCAGGTTCTGACATGCTATCCTCTCTTGCCTTCTCCTGACAAAAGGCCAGAAGATCCCTGTGAGCCACCAGGAGTCCTGTTACCTCAACAGCACCATAGCATAGCTCACCACCTCACGGCGCCTCCGGGAAGGGGTTAACTCACCACGTAAAAGCTTTTATTTGAGCAGAGTGGCAATGCCCAGAAGCAGGGGAGCTGGGGCCTCCCTGAGGAAATAACTGAACAATTTGATTTAATCTGTGACAGTTTTCTACAGTGGCTAGAGGTGGAGAGAAGGTGCGAGAGACTAATTGCTTCTAGGAAGGAGAAGAAAAGGGCAGAAGAGAGCTGAGTTAATTACCACTGGCCCCGCCTATTCCTGACCTCCTTCCCCTTCTCCGTGGAGTGCCTCCTCCTCAGGGTCCCGGTGGAAGGACTGCAGTGGCTAGTCACCATCTTCTCCCCTGAGTCCCGGAGCTAACACTATTCTGTGTGGCCTTTAGCCTCAGTTTCCACTTCTGAAAAATGAGAGATGAATAGGAGAGTGATTGTCTCCAGACAGTGAGCCTTTTTACCCCACTTCATTCCAGCAATCAAGACTCCGTGGCTCTTGGAAGATTATTAATAAGAGAAAAGAGCCATCATCATTTTTATAAAATCCCACTGGCGAGAGTATGAATTCTGTCCTTATATTCTTTGGGAATGCAGGGAAGGTAAGTGGCATGTGCCAGGCTACCTTCACACCAGCATCCCTGGGAGCAGACACTACTTTTTTTTATCCTAAGAGGGGTGGTCAGGGGCTGGCCCAACTCCCTCAGGTCCCGGTGTAGAAACTCCATCGTTCTTGACTTCAGACAGCCTGCCCTCTGCTGTGATCATGCTGTTGCCTGTCCTCTAGATGACACTGGACAGTGCATGTCTGCCCACTGAGTGGTTCAGAGGGAGGAGCTGCCGTAGGGAGTGTCTGTGTGTCCAGCAGCCCTACCTTGCAGGTCTTTTGCTTGTTCAGCTCCAGCCCCTCCACTGAGGGTCTACATCAGTGCCGTTGCTGCGGGGATCTACAGCCCCCAAGCCTTCTACTCTGGTGACATCGCACAATAGGACATGTGTCTTTCCTACATGGCACACCCACCACCCATGTCTGCCTGTGGAAAGGAAGGTTATCTGTGCAATTTTCAGAACATCAAAGAAAGAGAGAGAGCATCAGGAACTTCAACCAGGGGCAAAGCATGGTCCACCCTGGGGGACCCCTAGGACACAAGCCTTGGCCACAGCAGGCATGACTGTAAAACCTAAGAGGCCAGCCTTCCTCCCTTTGGAGTAAGATATCTCTTCTACAACATGACAGCTAAAAACTCATTCCTGTTACCATCTTCTAAGGTTTGGAAGCCAGAGACTGCTAATCAGGAGCCTCAGTGTCCATGCAACATGTTACCTCTAACCACAGCAGTGACACATGAGCAGCCACCAAGCAGATCAGTTTTTGCTTCTATGCTGCAAAAAGCTAAGCAATGCAACAACTGACTGTGTTTGACTGTGCACCCAGTCCGAGCCAACCATGGTCTGAGGTTTCAGAACTAGGCAGAGGTAATGCAGAGGGAAAAGTACGTCAACCTGTCTCCAAAGCCCACACTCTCCCCACCTCTGGGGACTTGCCCTGGCCTCCTATCCTTCCTTCCTGGTCCGAGAAGAAACAGCAAAGGGATTCTTCAAAGTCATCCAACCAAATTTGGCAATCATAAACTTTAAGGGGAACTAAGTGACAGGAAGACCAAGGGGTCTATTGGAGAAAACATAGCCATGACTGGAAGCCTAGGCTTGGAAATCCACTATGGGAAGGAGAAGAGACAGAAGAAAAGTTTGTGAAAGCTTGCTGCTGTTTCAAGGTGGTGGGGGAGGGGGTGCAGGGAGGGGAGAGGTGAAGATGATTCCAGGCTTGCCAACACTCAGAACTGTAGCACCAGAGGTCAGAATGGAAGGGACACTGGTGACCATGCTGAGGGTATTATACATTCATTATGTATTTATGGTCTCGAAACATACCTCAGGCTGGCCTAGAACACGTGATCCTTTGCCTGAGCCTCTGAAGTGCTGGGGTCACAGGCACTTACCACTGTGCTCAACTTCATAAAAAATGTAATAGCATATGCATGCACTGACTATATCAAAGCAGCCCGTGAAACTTCCCCAGGAGTTTCCAAGGGCTCTCTCTGGGTGTGAGTGACATCATAGGTGAATGTGTGAGTTTCTGAGGTACACATCTCTGTAGCCTCCACACTTGTCTATGTGCATGAATTGGTTTTGTGTCTCAAAGCTGGGCAAGACTCAGAGAGCTCCACAGGAGGGTCTGCAGAGCGGAGTTAGCATTAGTTCATGTCTCCACTCCCCACTTGCTGGCTGTGTATACTCAAGCCACGTTTTTCACCTCTTCTGGGTCTCTACATTCTGTTCTCTTATCCAACTTTAGATGGAAATTGTTAGGGTTGTTTGGGGAATTAAATTACTATTCATAAGTAAAGCAGGGGTGTGTTGGTAAATAGTAACCAAAATGTACCAATGGCCGGTCCTTTGTGGTGCCAGTCATTAAGTAACTCACCATGCCAGCAGAGCAAATAAATCACTTTCCCTTTCTGGGCTACATCGCCTCATCTACCCCATCCCTGCCTCCAAGGCATGACTGGCTTCTGTGATTCCATGTCTGCTTGAAACTTGTTCAGTGATGCTTAGGGTCTGACAGTTTGCTTCGGGGAAAATAAGAGCTGCCGCCGGGGCTTAGTGCCCGGCTCCACTGAGAGCCTGGCAGGATTTCCTAGGGTACCATACCACATCCTGGCTTCAATTGGCAGGTGTTTCTCCCTGAACAGGTGTAGGGGGCTGCCAGGGAAGCCTGTCCTATGATACCTCCATTCCTTGCCCACTGCTCTATCCTGCTGCCTATTCCTATTTCCAACACAGAGGAGGAGGGCTGGGCTACTGTCTCTGTCTCCTAGGGTACCAAGTAAGGTTGAAATTTACACAGCTGAGGTACCTCCTGATGCAGTCATCCTGTACCTAACTCGCAGATGGAGTGTGAAAAGCCTGCTGGAAGAATGACTTAGGGTCCTCCCAGATAAGTCAACCCACATCCAGGCTCAGCAAGAGGCCAAGGACAGTTGTGAATGTGGCAAAAACTTACCTAAAACATTATGAAACCTTTTTTTAAATAACTTGATTGCATGAGCATGAATTTTATAGACAGAAGCATTGCTTTACAGTGTGGGAAGGACTAGACTTGCCTGGTCTAAGATGGTTGAAACCTGTTGGTTTAAACGTGCTGTTTTGAAGGAAGTTTCCCCGGGAGCTCAGTATACAA